GTGGCCCCTCCCTTCTCGCTGGGGCTGTCGCAGAAGCCTCTCGCCGTCCGGCACATGGAGCGGATGAAGCCCACAATGAGGCCCTCGCGAACGCCCTGGCTGCAAAACTCGCCCTGGAAGGAGACAGCGGGAGACGGTGGGGTGAGTCACCTGGAGGAAGCAGGGGCAGGCGTAGGGCCAGGCAGGAGAGAAGGGAGTCCCCGCCAGGGAGGAGAGGAGGCAAGAACGGGGACAGAGAAGCATTGCCTGTGACAGATCTGGAGAGACCTCAGGCCCCATGAGCAGCGGCCTGCCCAGACCCAGGCAGGATTCAACCCCACCCTGTGGGCTCTCTGGCCCCCATGCAACCCAGCTGCTGACCCTGGGCTCACCCACCCCACGCCCCACATGTTCTGAAATGGCTTCCCTGGAGGCCGGTCCCTCCCCTAGGAATAGGGGAAGGGCTGGCCCCTCACCCTGAAGTAGGCCTTGTTGGAGAAGGACACATCCTTGGCAGTGAAGAGGTGCACGGCAGCCAAGGAGGCCTTGATGTGGCCCAGGATGGCCCCGGACACCGAGGCCAGGAGCTCCCCCAGGCCAGGGCCCTCCTTGCCCGCCAGCCGGGGGGCAGCCAAGGCCTGGCGAACATCCGTCAGGCAGCCCGAGAAGGCGGCACACAGGCCCTGCAGGTGTTGGCCCAGCCGCTCCCGCGCAGCTTGCTCCACAATCTCGGTGGCCCCCTCTGTCAGCCCAGCCGCGGGCAGCATCGTGCCTGGGGCCCGCAAGCGCCGGTGGAAACGATCCAGGGCCCGTACCAGGAGCGAATTGTCCCCGCTTCCCTGCTCTTGCGCCAGCCGCCTCTCCACGAGAGCAAAGTAGCGGCTGCCCAGCTCCCGAGCAAAGGCCACCAGCTTCTCCACACCCGCCGGTCCCTGGGCAGAAAAGAGTTCCTGGTAGGATGCCACCACTTGGCAAAGCCCGCTCACAAAGCCGCTGCCACCTCGGTCAGTGAACTCCAGCACGTCGGGGGCTGGGGGCGACGGGCCCAGCTCAGCCTCCAGGCTGCCCAGCTCGCCTTCAAGACGCCCCTGGGCGTGGGCCAAGAACTCATCACACAGCTCCTCCGCGGGCTCTCCCAGCGCCAGCAGCAACTCCACACACTCGGCCAGCTCTGGGGCCCCCGCCCCACCATCCCTGTGTGTGGGGGAGACAGAGGTGAGCGCTGGCTGAGGCAGGGGGCCGGGAGGGAGAGGGCTGCACCAGCGCACAAGCTGGCGAGGGCCAGGCAGCAGGGGGTGCTGGGAAGCCCAGGCGCCCCTACCTGAACTTGTGGCGCAGCTGCTGGGCCAGGCGGGCAGTGATGAGCTGGCAGTCATCCTGGATGGCCCGGAAGGAGGGCAGGTGCTGGTACTGCTGCAGCACGGCCCGCGCCCGGCCCTGGTAGCGCACCGCCTGCCCGTAGGCCCCCAGCTCCACGCACCTGGTGAGGCGCGAGGGCAGCTCAAAGAGGAACTGCAGCTTCCTCAGCAAGGCGTGGACCCCTGCAAAAGAGGAGCGAGAGGGCGCCTGGGGGCAGGCCGCCCCCAGCGCCTACCTCCGCATGCCCCGCCCCCCTGCACCTGCCCACCCCCACCCCCCTTGCGCCTGGCACTCCCCCCACCCCGGCCCCGCCGCACCTGCCAGCTTGGTGATGCGCTCGTGCCGGTCCTGCAGCGTGGCGCTGATGCGGGCGCTGAAATCCGTGATGACCGCCATGGTGGTCGCCAGGCGGTCCATCTCGTCCTCCATCTTCCGAAAATCATTCTTCATCTTGCGGATGGTGTCTGCGGAGACCCCCGGCCCGCCCTCAGTCTGCGGTGCCCTCCCGCCTGCCCGAGCCCCCGGGGGGGGAGGGGCACGGCCTGAGCTGCGCCTGGGCCGGCCGCTGCCCTCTCCAGCCCGTCCGCCTCCTCGGGTGTAAAAGGGGGCCAAGAACCCTGGTCGTGCCGGGGAGGGGGGGGTGTCTGGGGGCGGGCCCCCCTCACCCGTGGCGCAGATGAACTTGTTGTAGTTCTCGTAGACCAGCGTCTGCATGTCACTGTCCAGGGCGCGGATCTGCCGGACCATGTCCGTCTCACTGTCCATCAGCTGGGCCAGGGGACACTCCTTCCTCAGCTGGGGGGGAGGGCAGAAACGGGCCGTCAGCGCCGGGGGCGCAGTGGGGCGCTGGGGGGGGTGTCACAAGGAAGCGCGAGATCACGGAGGCACCCCGGGGGGGGCGCCCGGCCCCACCTTGTCCAGGAACACCTCCGGGTCGAAGTGCGCGCCGTTGAGGTCCGTGGGGTCCCGCGGGTCGGGGGTCGCCCCCGGGGCCGCGGCCTCGGCCTCGGGGAGGCCGTAATACAACTTCAGCATCCCATGCGCCTTCCGTCGCCGCTCGGGGGCCTCGGGCTCCTCCGGGGACGCCCCCGGCCCCGAACCCAGCCCCACCGCTGCCTCCATCCCTGCCCTGCCCGGCCCGTCAAGCAGCCCCACCAGAGCGCAGCCGGTCACTTCCGGCTGTGGGAGGTGGTCCGGCTGGAAGTGGGTTCCCCCAGTAGTGCGCGATCCGTCTGGAAAAGGCTCCCCCCTGAAACGCCTGAACGCTACAATGGTTCCGGCGCCCTTAGCGACCGCAGCTGCGCAGGCGCAAAGTGAGGCTAGGTGTGCTCTCCCCGCAAGGCCGGGGGAGAGAGGCAGTGGGTGGAGGTGTAGATAGGGTGCCTGTGGGAGAGTCAGAAAGACTGGAGTTCAAATCTAGCCACACATTTGCTAGCAGTGTGAGCCTGGGCAAGTCACTTAATCTTGTTTGCCTCAGTTTCCTCAACTGTAAAATGGAGATAATAACATGGTTGGGAGGGTCAAATAAGACAAGTGTGAAGTGCCCAGCCCAATGGCTGGCACAAAGTAGGCCCAGCTGTAGGGGCGGGGTGTGGGGAGGTAGAAAAAGACGCAGAGTCCAATCTCATAGCTCGGGTCAACTCTGATTCTACCACTGGGGTGACCAGTTCAGCTGGAATATCAGAATGTTTCCTAATGGACACGACAGGTCATTGTGAAATCATTCTCCACCCTGATGCTAAGCTGGCCAGATGGATGAGAGGGCCCTGTAGACATGCAGCCCTCCAGCGTGCCACCCCCTAGCCCCTCTCCCCCACCTAGGGCCCAAAGCACAGCAAAGCCACTCTCCCCATTCCCCTCCCCTCCCCCCCCTGGACTGTCAGTTCCTCCAGGGCACAGAGCCCTGGAGCCTGGCACGGGTAAGGGCTTCGTCGGTGTTTGCAGTTAAGCTGATTTGAAGTGATTGGCCGGTGCCAATCCTCTAGTGAGGCCCGGATGGCCCTGCCTGCCCTCACAGCCACACCGACCAGAACTGCCCAAGGTGGGAGATAAGGACGTTCTAGACGACTGCACTGTTCTAACTTCCAGTCGGGGCTTCCTGGAGGAGGGGAGACCTGAAGGAGCGCCTGTAGCCCTTAGCTCCGTGGGTTATTTCCAGATAGGAATCTTCAATAGCAGATGCCCAGGGTGGGAGTAAATGTTTTCCTTTCAGAGGAGAATGGCAAAGCAGACCAGCCTGGATGAAACGGTGATTATGCAAGGAAGGCAAGGCCAGAAAGGCCTTGAATGCCATGCTAAAAAACATTTCGTTTTGACCCAGTGTTTTAACCTGAGGCATGAAGTTAACACAGTATGGGAAACCCCCAGATGTGGAGTCAGAAGACCAAGGTTTGGACTGCTGCTCTGACTCAGTCATTTCATGGATAAAATGAGGATGGATTTCCCAGCATAAACATACTGGAAACTCTGAGATGCCAAGGCTGGGGATTTGGGGGGCTTGTCTTCAAACCCCATGAGGATGGTCTGTTTCCCTCTAGCTCCTGGGCCAGAGACACAAGTTGCTTCAAATTAATCTGACCCTTGTCTTCAGAAAGGATGTCAGTGTTCTACCGCCCTGGCCCCCGTCCCCTGAGGGTGCTCTCTCCTCCTCAGAGGAGAAGCCCCGTCTTCATATCTATCTATAGTGCGTGGCACGGCTGAGCTTCAGAAATGCACTCAATCGTTCGTTCCTTACAAATCGCCATGGGCTCAATGAAGCTGCCGTTCCCACCCCAGCCAAAAGCATAAAGCATCTCTCCCATGATGAATTTTGTGATCAAGCTCACTCCTTTTCTCACCCCGACCTTGGCCTCTCCTAGTTTTTTGGAGGGCACATCCTACTGACATCAGGCCCCAGCTTCAATAGGTGCCTGGTGTGTGCTCAGCCCCGTGGTCCCTCTGGTGGAGGAGGTGGGAGGGTCTATGACCCGTCCACCCAGGAATTTTGGAGTCTAAGGAAGAGGAGGAATAGCTAAACAATCCCCACCCCACCCCCCATCTGGGGAGTTTAATGCATTGCCTGTAAGGATGCTGATAAGCTGGGGTGTCCAGGAGAGGACAGCCAGGATGGTAAAAGGCCTTGAGACCATGACCTAGGGGCATCTGTCAGATGGTGACCTTTTGCCTGGAAAAGAGAAGATGGGGTGGTGGCCCTTGGGTCAAAATACGTCTTCAAGTACTCAAAGAGGCATCCGAATGGGTGAGAAGTGCAGAGGCATACTTGGGCTGGACGTCAGACAAGTAGGATGGGCAGGCCCAGCCTCGGGAGTGCCGTCCCCAGCCCTACGGAGCTGTCCTAGATACAGTTCTGACTTGTTTGGATCAGAGGACCACTCGGGTCTTTCCCACCTCTGCCATTCTGCCTCGAGATTGAGAACTGGGAGAAATTGTCATGGGCTGGCCAATGCCTGCTTCTTGGAGGTATGGCCCCGGAAGTCAAGGAGGGGAGAAGGGGAAGAGCACCAAAATGCGGCAGACGACCCAGGCAGCAATGAACAGGGTGTGCCTGATGGGAGAAGGTGGGAAATGAGGCGGGGTGGACATACGGGGTTAATTGGCTCATGGAATCTCCACTCTGTGCATAGGACTGCTAAGTGCTGGGCAACCGGGGAGACCAGAGCAGCAGGACCCAGACGCAGTCAGGTCGGCAGCTCCCCTCTACATCCCAACCCCCCCACCTCCCCAGACTGCTGTGAGTCCAGCCCTGGCTAAGCCTTAGCGCTGTCCCCAACAGAGCAGCAGTCTTCTCAGTTCTCCCAACCAGGCGACCCCTCAGAGTGGCCTCCGAGGCCCCCAGCTCTGAACTGATCCTCAGTCTGGTCCTCTGAAGGCCCCTCCTGATCTCCATGCCCTTCCGCTTGAGGGCCTCGCGGCTCTCCCAGTGCTCTGGTTCCTTCCTCACCCTCTCCACCCATGGCACTGCTTGTTTCTGTGAATGTGTTCCTGGCCCTCCCGCTAGAAATTTCCACAAAGACGCCTGAGTCATGCTCAGCCCGGTGCTCTCCACCCCTGGCTCAGGGTCTACAGGACACAGCCTTCATGTTTGTGGAATCAGAGTGAGAAATGGGGACCCCCTTGTGGATTCTCCCAGGAAGCGTAGACTATCACCCTTGGGGGACTCTTCCCAACAACAGGGCGGGGTCTTTTCAAGCAGGGACAACAGCACAAAGGGAGCTCCCCCACCCCCCCAGTTCCCGTCCTCGATCTTTCCAATCACCTCTCAGTTCTAGAGCCCCCTGGCCATTCTGGTGCCTCTGTTCCTGCTCCCCCAGGTTCTAGAATGGCCTGCCGCCAGTGAGCTATCTGGTCTGGCTCTGCCACCATGCGCTGGCGTGACAGGATCACCGTGCTCTTCTTCCCACCGGGGGTGGTGCTGACACTGGCGGCGATGATGCTCTTAATCCTGCACATCAGCATCTTCGCCAACGACGTGTACCACTTCTGTATCACCCGCCAATTCAATCTGATGAGCTTCCGCAGCACCGTCATTGTCCTGGTGAGCCACGGAGGGGCACGGGGCACCAGGGTGGACCGCAGCAACAGTAGTGACCCTCCCTTTCTATGCCTCGCGGGGCTCCAGTTCTCACAGGTGATGAGCATCTGGTGGGCCTCCCTGGGGTCACTCTTTGCAGAGCTGATCGAGGACAAGATTCTGAGATGTTTTGCCCTGACCATTCTGAGTAAGTATGGGGAGTCTGAAAGTGGGGGTAGCAGAAAGGGAGGCTGGGGGAGGAGGGAATACCTATGCTGGGAGGGGCCGGGAACCAGGGTGAGCTGAACCCTGGAGAGCACAATCCTGGGCTCCACGAAGCGGGGGGGGGGACTGTGGGCCACGTCCAGCCCCTCTTGTCACCCCAGTGCTCAACGCAGCCATGTTTATCAACCGCCTGGCCCTGGAGTTCCTAACCATCACATACCGGGAGGAGAAGCACTGAGCACTGGAGAGGGGCCAGGCTCGAGCCCCGGTGGAAGGAAAGGCCTGGGCTCGGCTTTAATAAAGTCTGTTGTTTATTTTCAACACCACAGCTTTTCCTGAGGGAGAGAAAGTGTGGAGGGAGTGGGTGTGGGCTGCTGCTCTGGGGACACTTCCAAGGAAAAGCAGGTCAGGGGACAGAACTCGGCCCTAAGTGAGCCCCAGGAGCACAGCAGCCACAGGCGAAGGGCCCTCGCCCCCTCACATCCCTGGGGCTGTAGTGTCTCAGGAGACTGGAGTGGAGAGGAGAGGGACGGGGAGTCAGCACCCCTTGCCCATGACTCTGCTCCCAGCTAGGTGGGATGCCCACCAGAAGTGAGGAAGAGAGAGTTGGGGCTCAGGCTGGGCCCACGCGGATGTGAGGGTTCATGAGGGGGTCTAGATTGGGGTCGCTGTCGGCTGCAGCCCGGCCCAGGCGGGACATGAGAATCAAGAGGGCCAGGAAAGCCAGGGCTCCCAGCAGAAGCAGCAGCCCCGCCCTCTGCAGCAGGGACAGGGGCCGTTTTCGGGACCCTGCTCGGCTCCTAAGGAAGAGAAACTGAGTGAGGGGCTCTCTTCCTCGCCGTGGTCAAGCCCCGCCCTTTCCATCACCTGCCAGGCTCCTGAGCCAGATGTCCCCCCATGTTTCCTCCCCAAGCTCCCTAAATTCCCGGCCCGTCTTGGGGCCCCCGTCCCCCTCACACCTGAGCAGCTGGGCTAACCAGCCCAGGGCAGGCCTTCGTCGGTACTTGTCATCATCACAGTCCCCATGGGGGCCCGCGGCCCGACCCCCTGCCCGGGTATCGTATACTTTTCGAGGAGCAGAGGCTATTGATAGGAAGCAGAGAGGGGTGCATAAGACGGGGGATCTCCTTTGGCTACTCCCCCCATCCTTTCCTGGCACTAAGCCAGCAAGCAGGAGCCAGACTCTGGCAATCACCCCCAGCCCCATCAGGCCAAGGGGCAGAGAAGGGGTGCCTTTTCCTCCCCTTCCTCTTCCCTCAGCTCCATCTCAATCCCTGTCAGGATAGAAGAAGGATACGCCGGGGACCCCCCGTCTTGGGACACAGCAGTGGTTTCTAATGAAGCCCCTCCAGATCCTGTCCCCAGGCCTCACCTGTCAGGGGCTCAGGGCTGCCCATGTGGATAACGGCGTGCTGCTCAGGCCGGCCAGGGGAAGGGGGAGGCCTCGAGGGAGTGCTGTAGAAGGCTGCAGTGACCGAGGTGGGGATTTGCTCTTCCAGCCCTGAGGGGCTACTTGCTGAAGACAGAAAAAAACCATGAGGAGGGGAACAAAAGGTCCTTGGGGTGTGGGAGCGGGGATGTAAATGCCACTGTTACTCACTATTGAAGTCGGACCAATCAGAGAAGCCAGAAGTCTCAAGGACCTCAGGGGCTGGCGTCACTTCATCAATCTGGAGCAGGAAGAGCGAAGACCACTAAGCGCTCACCGTTTCTGTGGGGCCCCATCACTTCCTCCACCCTCCTGCCCCAAGCCCTCACCAGTGGGAGGCCCAGCCCAGCTCGGGCCCAGTTGACAGTAGCTAGCTTCTCCCGCAAGGCAGTGGCCACAGGGCCCGCGAGGTTGGCAGGGGGAAAGATGGGGCCACTACAGCTAGGGCACTGGTAGCCAGCGGGTGCTGTATTTCGAGGCAGCTGGGCAGCTCGTTCATTAAGGCATGACCAGTGGAACAGATCTTCCAGGCCAGAGAGGGTGGGAAAGGCAAGAGAAGAGACATTCAGACAAATACTCGAGGAGCCCTTCCCCACTTATCTCCCTAACGCTGAACTTTCCAGCTTTCCCAAGACTTGAGACCACGCCCACTGCCTCCCTCTGGGGTGGGAAACTTTAGACTCCCTAGCCCAGGAAGCCTACACACGCAGAACCAGAGATCCAGAACTCTCCCAATTACCTTGAATTCTTATGGTGATCTAAATAGCTGAGGAGCGAGCTGTGAAAACACATCCGTCTTGTCACCTACGCAACTTCTGAACTTTAAAGGTAAAGCTTTAAAGGTAAAGCTCAATTCCAGTACTTCCTCCTCTGTGAAGCTTTCCCTAATCCTCCGTAACCGGCAGATCCCCTACTCAGAGAGGCAGCATGGCTTAATGGAGATGAGATTTGGAGTCAGAAAGACTCCAGGATCAAATTCAGCCTCAGCTGCTTACAAGCTATACCGCAATGGGCAAGTTTCATCTCCAAAATGGGAACGAGGATACCTCCTTCACCAACCCTGCAGAGATGCAGGACTCGATGGGAACTGAGGCATAAAACACCTTCCAAAACCTGAAGCTCTAAGATTCCTAGTTTGTTGTATGCCACGGGGAGGGGCTGGATGGGGCACTCAGATAAGGTTCCCTCTACCAACACAGGCTGGCACCTTCTCGGCAGCCTGGTCTGAGAGGTGACCCGCCCAGGGTCGCCTGCCTGGGTAGATCAGTCAGGGGTCGTCCTGCACAGCTCTCTTGTCATAAACCCCACGCTAAAAATCTCATCTCACGCTCGGAAGCTCAAGGTCTGCAGGACCCGGCCTCACCGTAGCAGACGAGGCGGGTGGTCTCCCGCGTGGACAGCAGGGTGCTGCAGAGCCGGCAGTTGGGGTTGTAGTCACTGTCCTGGAGCCACTGCAGGTAGGACTGCACAATGCACTGAGGAGGGGAGGGGGAAGAGACGGGGGTCAGAGCAGGAACGGGGCTTCTCCCCTCTTACGGCGCCAGGCTCATTCCCGCCTTCCCGAAGCCCCCGCCCCCGGCGCCCACCTTGGCGTGGTTGGCCACCAGGCAGTGCTCGCACACGTTGACCCGGTGCTCGAAGCAGAATAGGTTGGTCACCTTCCTCTTGGGGCACTTGCAGAGCCCCATGGTCTCCCGGGAGCTGCCCTGGGCAGGGGAAAGGGAGGGTCACCTGGGAGTGGCGCTCCCGCCCCCTGGGCAGGTGAGAGCCCCGCCCCAACGAGGCCCCGCCCGCCAGGCGCCCCGCCCCCTCGGGGACCCCGACCCTCCCCCCCCCCCGAGCCCATGCGCGGGGGCCCTTCCGGGGCGAGGCGCCCTCGGGCCCGGGGCTCTGTCTGTGTAGTGTCGGAGGGGGGGGGAGGAGCTCACCGGGAGCCGTCGCTTCAGTCCCTCCTGCGGCTCCTGTTACTCTTTTTGCTGCCACGTCTCTTCCGGGTGCGGCGCACACTGATGACGCCACCGCGGCCGCGCGCCCTCGCGCTCTCCCCTCCTTCCGGGGCCCCGAGACGCGCGCGTGCGCACTGAGGGGAGGCGTAACCGAATCCTGCGACCCCGCCGCTTCTTCCGGATCCTTCCTCTGCGTCACTTCCTGCTTGGCGGGTTATTTGAACGTTCCGCGCTCTTCTCGGCGAGCGCGGTTTTCTGTCGGCGCGCGATCTGGTCTAGATGTCGGCGAGACGGAGCCGGAGCCGCAGCCGCTCCGGGGCCAGGCGCTCTGGTGAGCGAGGGCCCGGGGCGGGGAGGGGGGGAAGGGGCGGGGCGGCCCATTCGGACTTCGCGCTTGGCCTCACACCCCACTCCCACCTCCGCTTTCTCTCCGCAGTGCCCGAATCCCCGCCCTCTCCTGCTCCCGCACTGCGGAGGTCCCAGCGGAAATCAGGGTCTGCTCCCGAAGCCCCTCCCCAGGTAAGCCGCTCCCCCCGGCCACCCTCCCACCCCCAGGCTCCTCTGCCCCCCGACCTGATGACCCTCCCATCCCTCCCCTGCTCTCCCTTCACCCACCGACCCTTTCTGCTTCCTAGCCTTCCACCCCAGCCCCCAGGACGGCCATCACCCTGAAGAAGATCGTGCCCCAGGCTGCAGAGGTGAGCCAGTGTCCACACCCCGCACCCAGGCTCTTCCCCGCAGAGCCCACTCCTCATTTTTCTGTTGTCTAGGCCACCTCCCCCGGAGCCCAGAAGTCCATCACAGTGAAGAAGATCGGGCCCCAGACCCCCGAGGTGAGCTTCGTTTCCTGTCCCTGCCTCCTTCCCTCAGCCTCACTTCTGCTCCCCAGGACTGACTCCCTGTCTCTTTTCTCTCTCAGGCTTTCCCCCCTGTAGCCAGAAAGCCCATCACAGTGAAGAAGCCGGTGGCCAGGACCACGGAGGTGAGCCCCCTGTCTCTGATCCGGGCCCTGCTCATCTCTTCCAGGCCGCAGCTCTGCCCTCATCCCCACTGGACAAGCCCCGTTCTCCATTCCCCTCGACCATAACGATAGGTGGTTACGTGGCACGATAAAGCTCTGGGTTGGAGTCCAGCCTCAGATACTTACTAGCTGTGTGACCCTAGGCGAATCACTTAAACTTTGTCTGCCTCAGTTTCTTCACCCGTAAAATGGGGATAATAACAGCAGTTACCTTGGTGCTATGACAAAGACAAAGTGACATCACGTTCAGAAAGTATCTCGCAAACCTTGAAACGCTGGCTGTAACTTAAGTCAGCGAGCTTTTGTTAAGTTGCATTCTAGCTGCTGGAGGGCATCCAAAGACCAGAACAGAGATGAGCTCTTGATCTCAACGCTCTTCCATTTTATTTGAGCTAAGTTCTTCTTTACAGGCTGTTTCTCCTGCAGCCCACGAAGCAGTCTCCTTAAAGGAGACTATGTCCCCGTCCCCAGAGGCGAGCCCCGACTCTCCCACCCCCACATCCCTGCAGCCATGGCCAGCTCCCACCTCCCAGGGCCACAAGTCTGCAGCCAAGAAGAACGTGTCGCCGTCTGCAGAGGTAAGGCTTGGGGAGGAAGAGTACTGGGTCTGAAGAGAGAAGCCCAGTCTGGGAAAATGACAGATTTACTACTTTGTCATGGTTTCTTTATATCTCAGAGAAAGTCCAGGGCAAGTGCTTTATGTTACGGAACTTCTGTCCAAGTCTCCTGTGTTCTAGCTAAACCAGATTCTTGTCTGGCCCCTACACTTTGCGTGTGCTCTCTTGCCTCCATCTCGGCCTTCCCAATGTTCTCTGTCTGGGATGCCTTCTCTCCCGTTCACCTTTAGCCTCACACAAATGCCGCCTACTCCAGGAAGCCTCTGATGTCGGTCAGAAGAGCCTCCACGTTTTTGTCTGACTTTTTGGTTGCATTTGTGATAGGTTCCGTTATCATCACCACGTTTGTGTCTCGTCCCACAGCTAGACTGTGAGTCCTATGAGGCCAGGAGCCAAGCTTCCCCTACAGACACTCATCAGCTATTCATAGAGTGTCCCATGTGGGACAGAAAGGGGAACTAGGGGCAGGGCCACCTGAGAGACAATTGTCAATTAACAAGCAAAGACTTGTTAAGCTCTGTTTTCCTGCACTTCTCCTCAGGGCACACGGCTAGGCCCTTTTCCCAAAGAGCTTGGTTTGTGAGGGAAAGGGTTAGGTACACAGGAGAGCTCTGGAGGATTGCCACAGGGAATCTGAGGGCAGGAGCAATCATTGTCACTTGAAGGGTGTGTTGAGAACGCGGCATCTGACCTGGGCCTTGCAGGGAAGGGGGACTTCCCCAACAACGGGCTGGTGGTCCACACTGAAGTTGGGCAGGCTGAGAACAGGAAGTAGGAGGGCTCCTATCCAGTTGGGCCAGAGGATGGACCACCTGGGAGAAGTAGGAGGAGATGGTGGCAGTTGAAGGTGGGTAGTAAAAGGTACAGATGCCGTGACTAACTACATGTATGTTATCTGGGGGGCAGCAGGGAGGAAGCGAAGGTTTATGAGTAGACTGGTAGAATCAGGGAAATGCAGCAGGCTTTTACGGAGGTAGAGACTGAGGCCCAGGCAGCCCCGGTGCAGAGGGGGATGGGTCACCTGGCCCCCTGCGAGGTGAGCTGCAGGGCCATCACGTAGTTATTCCTGCTTAGTTTTCCTGCACTTGGCTCTGCTCCGCGTCCTCTGTGATGGACTCCTGTCTCCAGGCTCTGTGCTCTCGCCCTGGCTCTCCTCTCTTCCTCCTACCTGCCCTAGGCCTTTTCCCAACCTCCCCTCTGAGATTTCATTCTGTTTACACTCTGACCATGTATGGGCGTAGTCATCAGCCTCGGAACGGGAAGAGTGCTGGTGTCGGGTGGGGGGCTGAGACACCCGCCTTGTATTCGGTGCAAGCAGCACATCCAGGCAGAGGGAGCCGGGATACATTCGGAAACAGGGACGTTTGGTGGTGGGTCCTCTATTCAGGTTTGACCACGGAAGCCAGGGTCACGGCGAGGGAAGAACCACGTGTGAGGATGAGTGGTGGGAGAACTAGGAGCTGATGTTGTCCCTGGAGCCGAGGGAGGGGAAGGGCCGCTGTCTGTAGAGCCCCCTCCCGTGCTTTTTCCTTTTCTTTCACCTTCGTCTCTGACTTCCCCCTACAGGTAGCAGTTGTGGAGAAGGAGAACCATCCCCCTGTACAGGAAAGCACCCCCCTCGATAAAGGCAGCTCTCCTGTCACCACAGGCCCCGCTCCGGAAGTGACCAGCGCAGTGCTAGGCCCTCTGACCCCTGACGCTGACACCAGGCCAGGTCTCCTGGATGCCAGAGACCTGGAGATGTCCAGGAAAGTCCGACGTTCCTACAGCCGCCTGGATGACCTGGGCTTGGGCTCCAGCTCCACCTCGACACCCAGCTACCGGCGCCGTTCCTTCTTTGGCTTCGAAATGCTGCTCTCGGGAGAGGAGCTGGAGAACATCTCCCCTGTGGTGGAGAAGGAGCCAAAAAGCCAAGCAGTCGCCCCTGCCACTGAGCCTTCGGGGCCAGACTTCACCCTGCCTGGCATCACCGTGACCAAGGAAAAGCGCCGGAAGAGGAGGGCACCTGAGATCTTGGTGAGCGTGCCGGCCCCCCTGGCCAGGAAGCAGTCCCCCATCTCCCTGGGTGGTCGTCAGGCCTTCTCTGGAGGCAGCTGCTGCTTCTCTGTGGAGCCAGGTCCAGACTTTGTCCATGTCACAGCTGCTCCTCCTCCTGCCTTCTCTGTCCCTTCTGTCAGCGCTCACAGAGGCTGGCGTCTCCACTCTTCTCACTATCCCGGATGCCCTCCTGGAGGGAGCGTCCACTTGGCCGGCGTCCTTAAAGTGTGGACTCAGCACTGACCCCCGGACTTGGGAGGAGTTCGGATCCGAGCAGAGGACAGTCAGAATCTCTCCTCCCTCATTCTGGATCATGAACCTCTCTGGGAGCAGCATTCTGGCTGCCACGTCTCCCCACTGAGCTCATGGTTCACCCAGCCCCAGATCTGACCCCAGTTGAGGTTTTACATTTTTGGATGACATTCATCTCATGCAGCCAGCCCGCGTGAGCCTTTGCAGATCCCACTTCTGGCATCTGTCCTGTTAGCCATTTCTCCCACTAACCCGTCTTCACATCTGCTACACCTGTTGGCTCTTGCTGATAAACATATGACTCGGAAGATGCCATCCTGAGATTGTCTTCTAGCAGATGACCCTTTGAGGATGAGGTGACTCTTGGTCATTGAGCCGGACCAGAATTCACCTAACTGTTGTTGTCCGGTCCCCATGAAAGACCTTCTCGTGCCCCTCTCTCGGCATTCTGCGCTTCAGGCCCTGACCTGATGCAGCAGCCTCGTCATTCTGGCAAGGGCAGAGAGCTCCATCCGGCGTGGCTTCTTGGTGAAGCCATGCCGGCTCTTTGTGGTCACTGCTTCCCTTTCCAAATGCCCTTGAACCATCCCTTTAATAATACATCCTAGCATTTTGTCAGGAAGGAAAGTCAAGCCTGTCTAGATATGGTTTGATGTAGAAAAATCACTGTGACCAGGCCGGGCCCCTGCGCCATTCTCTCCCTGCGGCCCCTGCCTCTCCCGAGAGGAAGGAAATGTGTCCTGTCACCCCCTTGCACCAGCCTCAGAGCCATCATGTTCTCCACGTCTTACGGCACTCTGGCCCATGGGTCTCAGTTTCACAGGGGGCAGGTGGGTGGTCCCGTTTCCATTCCCATAACCATTCTTGTTCTTTTCCATCCTGAAGGTCATTCTCTGTGGAGTCCAGTCTTCCCTCCTTTTATCATCAGACCACCCACCTAGGCCATGGTTCATCCCTTCCCTCTGGGGTTTCTCTCCCCTCCAGCCACCTCAGCTCATCTTGAGATATGGCTCTCTGGGCTCTTCTCTCGGGATGCTAGATCTCCGGTCCCTTTCCTGTCCATGTCTTTGAAACCTCAGCCAGTCAATGAGTTCTTAGGTAGCTCCCCCATATCTTCCTCGTTGGATTCGTGGGTGACATCCATCATTGACTTTGGATGACTGCCTTTGGGGAATTTGGTCCTTTCCTTGGAAGGGTGGCATCGGGGAACCTGGGTTCAGATCTTACCCTGCCTCTTGCCTGCCTGGCCTCAGTGTCCTTGTGTGCAAGTGACCTTGGAAGTGTCTTCTGGCTCAGCCTCTTGGATCCTGAAGGGAGTCTGGCTGTCGCGGCTCACACCCAGTCTTCCCACATCTCAGACTTGAAGGAGGAGGCACCAGCCACGAAGCAAGCTCTTGGGGGGGGGGGGGGCGGCATTCCTTCCCCTTCTCTGGTCAGAGCGGTTCTTGCATCGTTTCTGCTGCCCCTCGCAGACTGACGCGTGGTGCCCTGGCGCTCCTTCGTTTCCTTCTCTTGCCCTTGACCGCCTCCAAACACTCCCACCAGGCTCCCCTACCCCAGCCTCCTGTTTGTGGCTTCTGCTGGGCTGTACTCTCTGCATGGGGCACCAATGCCCTTTGCAGTGAGATTCTCCCTTCTCTTCTCCCATTGCCAGCAGTTACGTTCCACAGCGTCTCAGCGATCCCCCTCTTCACCGAGCTGATCGCTGTGGGTGGTGTCCAGAAGCTGAGGTCTCTGCTTTTCTGGATCGGGGCCCTCCCTGAAGTGCTGGAGGGCCCGGGCCACCACTCCAGTGTGGTGGGGCCCGTGCGTCCAGCCGGGGCTGGGTCGGGGGGCCTGTGCGTCCAGCCGGGGGCTGGGTAGGGGGGCTCACTTGGGTGCCCCCTGCTCTCGTCCCTGCAGAAATCAGAGCTGGATGAATGGGCGGCTGCCATGAACGCCCAGTTCGAGGCCGCCGAGAAGTTTGACCTCCTGGTGGAGTGAGGCAGATGAAGAGGGGATCGCTGGACTGGGCTGGACCGCCCCCTCCTCCCATACGCAGCGTTCGTCATTTCTTCGTCCCTGCTGGGAGCCTCGGCTGCCATCGGTAGCTGTCCCCTTTGTCCTTGGAGATGCGCTCCTTCTCTGGGGGGCTGGCACTTGCCCTTTGTGCCGTCCCTCTACCTCGTGGACGCTGGTGGGGGCATTGCTGAGAACTGCCTCGTTACTGCCCGCTTTTCTTAGCTCCCCGTCCAGGAGCTGCCCTGTAGACAGCACTTGGGTTCATCCCGCTGTGTCCTGCGGTGCTTCGTTTCCCCTTTCCCAGGTTTTAATCAGGAAGAATAAAGGTGGCAGTTGGAACCCATGGAAATGTTAGGAAGCAGGCTGTCTGGGAAGAGAGCTGGCTGTGGGGGGAGCAGGGCCCTACCGCTGGCGCGTCATCGTTCGGCATCTCCTTCCCTACTCTCGTCCACACCGGTTTTCCTGGGGGTGGGGAAGGCCTTGCCGTTGCTCCTGGGAGGTAGGAACCTAGCAGATTGGCTTCAGCCTGAGCTCCCTCCCCCAGGGCACCCGGGCTGCTGAGGTCTGCAGGCACCCTCTTTGTGAGGGTGCGGCTTTGTGCTCCCCCAGAGGCCCAGCCCTTGCTAGTTCCTTCTGGAGAGGCAGTTGGTAAACTGATGGGACAGAATTGGGTCAAGGTGAATCACCCCCTCTCAGATGACCTTCCCAGAGGAAGGGACACACGACTGGATGGCCAGCTCCCAGGCCACAGCTGTACACCCCAGAAACACAAGGGAGACTGCCAAGCTTCCTGGCCTGTGGTCTGTCTGGTGCCCAACGGGGTGAAAGTTCTCCAGCTGACTCCCAGGTTGCAATGCCCAGTGACCTTACTGCAGGCTCTGCCTAAGCCAGTGGGGTCAAACAAATGGAAAGAGGCCCAAATGAATGTTGTTGATGTTATATTTTGTTAACTATTTCTCAATTACATTTTTAAATTTTATTTTTTTATTAATTTATTTTGATTTATCAACAATCACTTCCACATGGTTTTGAGTTTAAAATTTTTCTCCTCCTTCCTCCCTCCCTCCCTCCATGCACAATCTGATAGAGGCTCTACATTTACATTCCTATTAAACATATTTTCACATTACTGATGTTGTAAGTAAGAATTAGAATCAATAAGAGGAACCACAAGAAAGAGGAAACAAAACAGAAGGAAAAAAAATAGCAAATGGTATGCTTCGATCTGCATTGAAACTCCATAGTTCTTTCTTGGGATGTGGAGAGCATTTTCCATCTTGAGACCTTTGGAATTGTCTTAGATCCCTACATTGCTGAGAAGGGCTAAGTCTAACAAAGTTAGTCATTGCACAATGTGGCTGTTACCGTGTACAACATTCTCCTGCAGTGAGAACTACTTCACTCAGCATCAGACCACGCAAGTCTTTCCAGGTTTTTCTGAAATCTACAGCTCATTTCTCATAGCACAATAGGACTCCATCACATTCATCTACCACAGTTTGTTCAGCCATTCCCCAATGGTTGGGCATCCTCTCAGTGTCCAATTCTTGGCCACCACAAAAAGAGCTGCTGTGAACATTTTTGTATGTGTGGGTCCTTTCGCCATTTGTATGATCTCTTTGGGATACAGCCCTAGAAGTGCTATTGCTGGGTCAAAGGGTAAGCACATTTTTATAGCCCTTTGGGCAGAGTTCCCAATTACTCTCCAGGACGGTTGGATCAGTTCACAACTCCACCAACACCATTAGTGTTCTGATTGTCCTGCATCTCCAACATTGATCATTTTCTTTTGTCATTTTGGCCAATCTCAATTACATTTTAATCTGGTTTATGCACACACAGTTTCTTGACCCAAAGTATGACATCTCTGGCCAAAATCCAGCTTCAGACCAAGGGAAGGATGCCCTGAGGTTGGGTTAGGGGACAAGGCTGGACTGCAGCACTGCTTCCCAGGACAGCCCGAGGCACTGAGGCTGAGTTTCTAGCTGGCCCATAGGCCCGGCTCATCTGGTCATTCTCTCCTAGCCTCTGGCTGTGTGAGGCTTGGCATGCACAAGTCTTTATGAAAGCCGTGTCTGGGCCCCAGCCCCCGGCTGAGCCTCAGCTGCAGCTTCCCCCCGACCCTCTCTAGCAGTGCAAAAACGCTCATTTAGCTTGGGGTTCAGTAAGGCCAGCCTCCACGTGCACCTTGGCAGGTGATGAAGTATACACAAAGGCTTGGGATTGGGAGAGACCGAGGAGCTGGGACCCAGGTCATACGTCACTGGCTCACAGATGGAACCGTTGAACACAGAGATGCAAACCCTGAGCGCCCGGGCCACAGGCTGCGAGCGTCTTTTAGAGAGTGCCCAGCGATAAGAAAGGCTTTCCCTCTTCCCCAGCAGGGGCCCACTGTTGGCCGAAGGTGGAGGTTTTGTTCTACAAGCTGATTAAACTGCTTACTTCACTTCTGCTTTCATGGAGGAGCCTAGGCTCATGCGCCTGCTGAAGTCAGTTCAATATGGCGAGCGACTCAACAAAGGGTAGTAGCTACCGTCGACTGACAGGCTTTTCCGGCATAGTGCCTGCCCCCAAGCAGCTTACGTTCCACTGGAGGGCAGGGGTGGGGGAGCAGTGCTGGCGGCTGCAGGATGAGAAGACCTCAGAAAAAAGACAGCTGAGCTTTGGAGGGAGCTAGAGGTCTTAAGGAGTGAGGAGCGTGAGGCCCAGGTAGGGAGGACGCAGGCCTGCAGACAAGGAGTGTTGGGTGTGAGTCTGGCCGCCCTGAGGAGATAAGTATAAACATGAGGGCCAGACCAGCTGTGGAAGGCCTTAAGTGCCCAGGGCCCCTCTGACCTTGAAGGTCACTGGGAGCCAGTGAAGACTGTTGAGTGAGGGAGTGACACCTGGTACAAAGTCATGGAAGACACGGGCCATGGCCCGTGAGTTAATAAGCATTTATTAAGCACCTGGTATATGCCAGGCCGCTCTCCAGAAGCCATCTCAGAGCTTCCCTGGTCCTCTGTGAGAGTGGAGCAAGGCTCACCAGACTCTTAAAGAGTCAGGAGCTGAATGGGAAGATCAGGCAGCCAACGTGAGCCTTTGCTCCAAGGTCAGAAGGCGAGGATGGAGGCCGGCCCAGCAGCCCTCAGTAGATGTCAGCGGAGGTATTGACATAACCAAGCCTATTCCCCACTCTGGCAAGCGTTCAAGAGAACATTGACAAGGCTGCTCTCCTCTGCCAGCCGGTGGAGCCAGGGGAGGTTGGAGCTCAGAGGACGACCGCCTCGGCCGTCCACACTTGGCATGAGGCAGAGACCGGGGTCCTGGGCCAGAGGGCCTCCGGGAATGGCTGAGGGCAAGCTAGAGGTCCTGGAGAAGTTCTTTCAGCCTCCTTGGGCCTGGGAACAGGCGTCCTCATGGAGCTCAGCGTCCCCCTCCCCCGCCTCCTCAGGCCACCTCCCCCAGCTGGGCAGGGGGCCGGTGATCGGCGGCCGGGGCCCGGGGGAGAGGCTGAGGTTTTCCGCCTTCCTAGATGAGGTGACACAGAGGGTGCTGAGTCCTGCCCAGCTCCGGGCTCTGGGATGGAGGGGTGCCCTGGACCAACGTAGACACTCTCCTCCCCCAGGAAGCCAGGTAAGAGAAGGGGAAGGGAAAGAACCTTGCCTCCACCCCCAGCCCCCCTGCTCCAACCCCTGTTTGTCTCCTAGCTGGTGTTTCCCGAGGACCAGCTCTCTGAGACACAGACACAGACGCAGCCAGAGTCAGTGGAGCCCCGAGGGTGAGTGAAGGGGTGGGAGCCCCGAAGCTGAGGCCAGCTCCAGCTCTTCCTTGGTCTCTTTCCCAGGCTCCTCCTTCCACCACCACCCCTCCAATCTGATCCTGCCCTCTCCCTGCAGAAGTCCACTTCATTCATTCATTCATTCATTCATTCATTCATTCAACAAACATTTACTGAGCACATTCCACGTGCAGAGCCCTGTCCTGAGTTTGGAGGGGACCCAGTTCATAGTCTGCTAGACTGGGACACAAATAGGGCTAACTCTGAGATGTGCTAAGTGAGGCAGGGGAGGGCAAACCTCAGTGCTGTGTGAGGGCTTTACTGATGGGGGAATCACAGAACGCTTCCTGGAGTGGTCCACGTTTTATTTCATTAGAACTCCATGCCCCTAGCCTTCCCTCAGTTCTCCTGTCTCCCCTCAGGGGCTCCTTGGACACAAGATCTACAGGGGAAGATGGAGATGGGGACCCCAAGTTCGACCTGGAGCAGGTGTGGGAGGAGCTGATGACCTTGAAGGAACAGTTCCTGAGGTGAGGCAGGGGCTGGAGAAATTGGGGGTCCTCCCAGTCCCCCAGCTGAGTCCATTACTCAGCTATTGGGAAGTAGCCTGGGGTGGGGGAGCCCTGGATTAAGCACCAGAAGTCCTCTGAGCAGGAGTGTGACCCTAGAAGCAGTGCTGAAGGATGGGGAAGTCAAAAGCCCTGAGTTCGAAGCTTGGCTCTGTGTGATGGTGGCAAATCCCTTTCTGTCTCTAGGCCATGGGTTGGGTTTGGTTTTATTATTTGTGAAATGAAAGATTTCGACTCTAAGGTCTCTTCTGGCTCCAAATCCCACAGTCCTTGTGTGGGCCTCAGTTTCCCCATCCCAGGTATAAAAAGGGACTTACCTTCCAGAGCTGGGAGAAAAGGGCCCTTAGCAAGAAGCACAGCCGTCTTCTTGGCTCTCTACCCCCCAAGTTTTCATGGCATCCCCAAGCGTGGGGGGGGGCTGCCCCCCTGGGCACATCCGGCCTCCTGCTATAGGCCAGCTGCGCCCCTTCGCTTCAGGGCTTCAGGGGAGACCGGGGGGGGGGATCCGGTTGAGAGGTCAGCCGGCTGGCCAAGGGCTTCAGCCAAAGAAGAGAAGCCTGGGGGCTGGGAGGACGGAAGGGGCATGTGGTGTCAGGTCAGAAGGGAGCAGGCAGTCTGGGGAGCTGGGAGATCCCCGAAGGAGCACTCCTTGGGGACGTTCCACTGTGGAGCCTTCCTTCCCCAAACAGTCAGTATCCAAGGTCCAGCTGCACTCGGACAGCCTGGTTCACAGACCGCAGAGCTGTCCAGGAGTGTCTGTGGGCAAGGTGGGCTCTGAAGCGCTTCTTCTCTCCCCACCCCAGGCTGCAGGAGGACCTGGCCAGCACCCGCAGGGCCCACCAAGTGCTGGAGGAGAAGCTGCAAAGCCTGGTGTGTCTCGGGGCTGGGGCCGGTCCTGAGGAGGGCAGAGGTGGGGGGGCAGCTAGCCCCAGCTCCCATTCCAGGCTCATGCCCTGTCTCCTTCTACTCCAGGTGTCTAGGTTGGCCTCCAGCCCCCCGGGACCCCCTGTGTTCCTTCTCCTGAACGAGGCTCCCAGCTGCTCCTTGGACTCCTCCATGCCCTGGGCGAGCCCAGAGTTGAGGGAGGGGGGGTAGTGTGGGGGTTCTGGGTTCAACCATGGGGGAAGATCTCCATCCCCGTGAGGGGACTGCACCTCAGGCTCCCCTGCTCCACCCTTCTTAATGTCAGCAATAAAGCCCTAGCCACCCCCACACCTGCTGTGTGTGTGTATCAGAAGGTAAGGGGTGCCTTGTACAGAGGGGTCAGCCCCACCCATCCTGCAGAGATGGTTCAAGGGCAGGAGAGCCCAGTGAGATGGAAGAGATAAGCACCTGGGAGAGGCTGGCTCCCCTCTGGAAGAGATAAGGCTCTGTCTCATCCCAGCAGACAAAGAAGTGATTCATAGTCTAAAGAATGAAGTGCCTCCGAGCCTCTGCCCCCAGCTCCTGGGATTTGGGGGCTCCCCTTGGCAGCAGAAAGAGTCGGCCCACTTCTGACCCTACCTGTGTGGGGGTGGGAGAATCACTTCCTCTCTCTGGGCCTCGGTTTCCCCATCTGTAAAACAAAGGGGTGGGAGGTCTCTTCCAGCTGCTGCTCGGTGGTCCTGTCATTGCTTTGGTCCAGGGCAGCCATTTAGAGCTCTGGCTGGGCCTTAGGGGGTCAGGCCACCAGGCTGTCCAGAGGAGGAGGACTCATCTCTCAAGACCTGACCTTGGCCAGCCTTAAAGTGGAGGAAAAGGCCTGGCCAGGTGGGGGTGCTGTGGGTGTGCAGGGAGGAGGGGAGGAAGGTGCTTTGTCTGGGGGAGGGGGAGGGAATGAGGCCTTCATCCACTGGCAGTTGCTTCCTTAGGTGGAAGGCCCTTTGTGTTACAGAAACTGAGGGGAAGGACTCTTCCAAGGTCACACGTCCTGTCCTCTGACTCCAAACCCCACCCCACGCTGCCTGGGCCTATGCAGGACCAACCACTTCCTCCCTTACCCCCTCCCCGTTTGGAAAATGTCCCCTGGGATGAGGGGTGCAGGCTGTGGCCAGAGAAGGGGAGGCAAGTTGACATTACAGGAACACTTTGCCAACCTACGCACACTGAAGTGGGAGCTGTGGCCTGGGCTCAGCCCAGAGGAGCCCAGCATTTGACGAGACCACACACCAGGAGCCCCAGAGCAACAAGAGGGCAGACACGGGCATGGGGGAGTGAGACCCATTTTCCAGCTCTGTCCCTCCCTACCTCTGGGACCGTGGCAGACCATCTTCAATGCACGATACCTCAGTTTCTCCCTTTGTGAAATGGTGAGGTGAGGGTGGGTTCTTCAGGTGAGAAGTGGGGGACACTGGGTTCACAGGGTGGGGGACTGGGACAGGTAGCTGCATTTTTCCTATCTCTACCCTTAGTCTAGGAAATTATGGAATTTAAGAGTAGTATTTATCAAGAAGCACCTACTGTTTTCAAGGGGCCATACTGAGCCTTGAGGCTGTAAAGATGAAAAACTACCTGGAGAAACTTTATATTTGGAGGATTGGTGGTGTGAATACAAAGAAGCGTATAGCACCTGGAGACACACAGTCTCCCCCCCCACACACACACACAGTAAGTCTACCTACAAGGCCACCCCAGGTTCAAGGTGTTCTGAGAGTCTGGATCCACCAAAAACCATTGCTCATGAGCCCCCACTGATGGGTTCTCCCTTGTTTGTCAGCCAGGGGACACAATTCATTCTAAGCAAAGGATCACAGACTCAGAGCTGGAAGGGGCTGAGGAGGCCCTCTGGTCTACCTCCCTTCTTGGACAGATAAGGAAAGTGAGGCCCAGCAAGACCGTTCCACACTGACCTCCCTTATGAATTCCCTACTAGCAAGAGTGATGGAGGCAAAAGAGAGAAGCAGGCACAGTGCTCGAGGACAAAGGAGGGGCATGAAGACACTTGAAGCTACAGCCATCAGGAAGACCTCATGGAGAAGCTGGCACCTGAGCTGGGCCTCGAAAGACAAGAAGGATTTTAGCAGGCAGAGAGAGGGGAGGGAGGGCATTCCAGGCATTAGGGAAACCCTGTGCAAAGCTACAGAGATGGGAAATGGGAGGTTGAGTTTAGGAACAGCCAAGAAGTCAGCTTGGCTGGAATGTAGGTTGTCTGAAGAGGAGGAACAGAAAATATCTGGAAAGTGGACAGGACTCAGACTGTTAGGGAACGTGTTTGATTCTGTCCTAGAGGCAACGGGGAGCCACTCAAGGTGGCACAGTGGACTAAGCTCCGAGCCTGTAGTCAGGAAGATCTGACTTTCAGACACTGTCTGCCTCAGTTTCCTCCTCTCTAAAATGGGGGTAGAGTGGCTAGGTGGTGCAATGGACAGAGCACCAGTCCCAGAGTCAGGAAGACTCATCTCCTTGAGTTCAAATCCGGCCTCAGACACTGACTAGCTGCATGACCCTGGGTAAGTCACTTAACTGTGTGCTTTAGTTTCCTTATCTGTAAAATGAGCTGGAGAAAAAAATGGCAAACCGGTCCAGTATCTTTGCCAAGAAAAGCCCAAATGGGGTTACCGAGAGTCAGATATGAACAAAAATAACAAAATGGGGGTAATATCACCTACCTCACAGGGCTGTTGTGAGGATCAAATAAGATAATAGCTGGAAAGCGCTTGGCACACAGTAGGCTCTTAATCCTTCTTATTCCCTCCCTTCTTCCCTGGAAAGTTCTTGAGCAGGGCAATGTCCCTAGAGTGGAGCCTTAATAAGGTTATTTTGGCAGCTGGACAGAGCAGGGAGAAAGGCTGGAGCCCAGCCTCCAACTGGATGGTTGTCCACAGGAGGTGATGAGCTGGGGGTGTCAAGATGAGAGCTACTGTGGAAGCAAATTAACCCACTGGGAGAAGCGCTGAATGGTCGAGGTTGACTGGAGCCGCAAAGCTGGCAGATTCAAAGGACAGATGGGTCTCTCCCCAGCAAGGTTCCCCCTATATGGGGAAAGCTGGTTCCCTGGAGTCATGGCACCCCCTATTTCTCTCCACCCCAGGCAGGTGCAAAGTGCAGGTCCCCCAGGGTAATGGTTAACCAGGGACATGGACACCCCATCTATAAGAAGTCTCCAGCTTGGAGTGGGGGGACTTTCCTTGTACCATGCAGTGGTGGAAAGTGATCCTGAGCTTGGTGGGGCTCGCTGCCCTCTTCAGTTTGGGCATCATCCTGGGACACTTCGCCATTCCCAGGAAGGCTGACCAGCCTGACTCGACTGGCCCAGTCAGTGCCTCCCAGGACCTGGATCAGGAACTGCTGAAGGCTGTCGTGGGTCAACTGGATGCCAGCAGAATCCGGGAGAACCTCAGGTGAGCACCTCCACATTGACCCAGGCCCCACCTCTCCACCAAGGTGTTCTGACACTGACCGAGGCCCCCTTCCTACCCACAATGTCCTCACGATGACTCAGGCCCGATGCCACCCCTGCCCCCATGTCTCCCACACTGACCCAGTCTCATCTCTCCTCCCGGCAGGGAGCTGTCCTTGGAGCCCCATATGGCCACCACCTTAAGGGATGAAGATCTCGTCCAGCTCCTTCTGCAGAGATGGCAGAACCCTGAGTCGGGGCTGGACGCTGCTGAGGAAGGGATATACGAGGTGCTACTGTCCTTGCCTCATCGCGAGCAGCCCAATACGGTCCGAGTGGGTAAGGCTGGGTTCTGCCAGTATGGTGATCACAAGCAGCGGGGTGGCAGCAATGTGTCTCACCTCCCCAGAGGGTGAGGGGGCAGGCGTGGCCTGGCTCCAGTGGGGGCAGTGGTCTGTTGCACCGAGAATACTGGATATGGGGTCAGAGGTTAAGTGCTGCCTCAGACCCTCTCTTGCTGTGACCCTGGGTTTTCGTCTTCCCTTTTCCCCTCAGTGAGTCCCGATGGAACCACTCTCTTCACTGCCCAGCACAGTGAGGAAAACCTTACTGGAGAGCAAGGACACCCAGAGGTGGTGCAACCCTATGCTGCCTATGCCCCAGCAGGGACCCCTCAGGTATGCACCTTCCACTTCCCATAAGGGAACTGGGCAGGTCTCTCCCTGGATTTGGAGTTAGGAGACCAGGCAGAATCTTGGCCACTGACCAGCTGGCCAAGTCCCTTCCCTTCTGGGGGGTCTCTATCTCCCACTCTGTAAAGGAGGTGCTGCAGTTAGAAGCTTGGAGGGCTCACAGAACTGCACACTGCTCTTCCTGCCGGAACCCCCCCACCTCGTCTCCCATCTCTCCCAGACTCTCCTCTAATTTCTTTCCTCCCTCACTCAATAGCATTTTATATTTTTCCAACATTCACTTTTATAAGATTTTGAGTTCCCCATGTTTTCCTCCCTCCCCAACATGGCACGTAAGCTGATAAAGGCTCTGCATCGTCCAATCCTCTTGGACATATTTCCACATCAGTCTTGCTGTGAAAGAACCGTCTCCTCTCTGATTTCTTGTTCCTTGGGCTCAGGGTCTTCTGGTCTACGCCAACACGGGCTCGGAGAGTGATTATGCCTACCTGAAGGACCAGGGCATCAACCTCACTGGCACCATAGCCCTGACCCGCTACGGTGGGGTGGGGCGAGGAGCCAAGGTGAGCACGCATCAGATGCCTGGAGGGAGGGAACAGAAGCTGGACCACAGAGAACAGAGGGAACAGGAAGGACAGTAGGGGTATGACATGGAAGTCAGGAGACTTCTTTTAACTACAGGCTGGGTCCAAATCTGGGCTCTGCCATTAAATGCCGCTGAGTCCTTCGCCCACTGGGGGAGGTATACCGCCTTTCAGGCCAGCCGGGCATGAGGCAACCTTCTTGGACCCCTCTCTGGGCTTGTTTTCCCACCTGTAACACGAGGGCGTTGACATGATCTCTGACATTATTTCCAGGTTTGAATTCTATGATCTGAATGCTTTGTCTCCTTCCCAGTAATCTCAGTAGACCTGGTACTCGCTCCCAGGTCCTGACAGGGGCCTGGGGATGTTAACTGCAGTTGGGCACCAGGCTTTCTGTATGACAGGGTCGACTCGGTGGAATTGGGACTCCATTTATGAGATTAGTGAACCTTATTGGTGTCCCCTGACCCCAGAGCCAGAGGGTAGGGAGGGAAGGAGCCCAGAGCCAGAAGGCCGCCCCTGTCCTCTGTCCCTTGCAGGCTGTGAATGGAGCCAAACATAGAGTGATTGGGCTTCTGGTCTACACTGACCCCGGGGACATCAATGACAACCTGAGATTCCCCAATGAGACTTTTCCCCACTCCTGGGCACTGCCTCCTTCAGGGGTGGAACGTGGTTCTTATTATGAGCATTTTGGGGACCCCAAAACACCCTACTTTCCTGCTACCCCTTCTGCCTTCCGCCTGGAGAATGCTGACATCCAGGGTTTCCCCCCAATTCCCACCCAGCCTATTAGCTTTGAGGATGCCCAGCTACTGCTCTGGTGAGTTTCCCTTCCCATCCAGTTTTTTTAGGGTGGTGGTGGGGAGGCATGGTACCTTCCTTTTCACCCCCAGGGAGTACCATCTTTCCTCCTCAGGGCCCCAGCCCCCTTGGCCAGGCTGTGACACGAGAAGGGCTTCTTGGGCCTGTCCCTTCCCCTCCCCCAGGTCTCTCCACCTGTAAAACGAGGGAGTTGGAGTATTCTCTCAGGGTACTTCCAGGTTTGACTTCTATGACCCTAACCCTTTGTCTCCTTCCCAGTAACCTCAAAGGGCTCATAGCCCCTGATTCCTGGCAGGGGGCCCTGGGATGTGACTACAGCCTGGGACCAGGTTTCCTGGACAACGGGAATTTTTTCCAGGACAGGTGAAGACATCCCTTTATTCCCGAGGGTACCCACCCCCTCCCTGTGGTGCCTTTGGCCCCTCTTCCCTCCTCCCCAGAATCCCAGAGCTGGAATGGATCCCTGGGGCATCTAGTCCCTCCTCCCAGTCAGTGCAGGGATGGCCTCTAGGGAGCAACCAGGGCCTGTCCAGCCTCTGCTGAGCCCTCTCTCTTGCTACCCCTCGCCCCTTATTTCTCTACTTTTCATTGGCCATCTCTTCACCTCTCTGCACCCCTCTCTCTCTCCCCCAAAGTGAGGTGAATGTCACTGTTCACAACCAGCTGGAACTCAGGAACTCCTCCAACGTCCTGGGAATCATCCGGGGGGCCGTGGAGCCTGGTGAGGAAGCCCCTCGGTCAACCTGCCACCCCGTGCCCAGCCGCCCCTTCTGACCCTCTGCTCCACCAAGCCTGCCCCTCCCCATATCTGATCCTCTTCCCTCCTGTGCCCCAGACCGCTATGTTCTGTACGGGAATTATCGGGACAGCTGGGTCCATGGGGCTGTTGACCCCAGCAGTAGCACCGCTGTGCTCTTGGAGATCTCCAGGGTGCTGGGGACCCTGGTGAAGGCTGGTGAGGCTGCGACGCCCCTCCCCCCAGGGCCCCCCAAGCTCCCTTCCCGTGACGCAGGGCTCTCCTCCTCGCTTCCTCCCACCCCACTGCCCAAGTCCACATTCACTTCCCTCCTCCCAACCTTACAGCACGGGCACAGACCATCAAGGCCGCAGTGACATGAGGGGCTGGGTGGGATTGGGGGCCTCGGAGGTCCTAGTGGTTCTCAATCTGAGGATGGGCTGATGAACTCGATTCTCCCAACACAGACCATGGCTCCCCCTTCCTTGTCCCGCCAGTGCACCACCCTCCTGGAACCCAAACAGCTCTGTCTTCCGACTCTTGTCTCCTCCAGGAAAGTGGCGACCCCGCCGGTCAATTGTGTTTGGAAGCTGGGGGGCTGAAGAGTTTGGCCTCATAGGCTCCACTGAGTTCACAGAAGTGAGTGACCGCACAGGTGGGGCAGGTGGGAGGGTGGGGGGGAGGTTGACCTGCTAACCTTTGGCCTCTGACCCCCAGGAGTTCTTCACCAAGCTGCAGGAGCGGGCAGTGGCTTATATCAATGTGGACATCGCTGTATTTGGTAAGGTAAAGGTTGAGGCCAAGAAACCTGGGGGTTCTGTGAGTTGGGGTCCTAGGGTGAGATTGATGGGCCAGGACCCCAGGGCTCTGTGCACAGAAGACGGAGACTGACTCATGTTCGTTCCTCCTTTGTCAGCCAATGCTACCCTGAGGGTACAGGGGACCCCCCCTGCCCAGAGTGTTATCTTCACTGCAGCAAAACAGGTGCAAGGAGAGAGGGAGGGAGAGGGATGCGGGGGAGAGTCCTCCAGAGAGTCTGGGTGGGAAGGGGGGGGCAAGTGGCCGCCTTGCTTACTCCATGCCCACCTGGCCAGGTCCCAGCACCAGGGAAGAGTGGGCTGACAGTTTATGACAATTGGCTCCAATATAACAATCGAAGCAGCCCAGTTCACGGCATCATACCCAGGTGAGGAAGAGCCTGGGATCTGAGGAGACCATTGGGCCAAACAGTCAGCAAACATGTACTAAGCATCTGTCTACTACACTCCAGACACTGTGCCAGGTGTTGGGGCTGCTGCTCCTAACCTCAGTGAGCTTATATTCTACTGGGGAGCACAAAATCTGCATACAGTAAATAAACACAAACTTAGGAGCTGCCCTACCCCTGCAGCCTGGGCTCCTTGGCCTCCGGCAGTGACTATGCCGCCTTCATCCACTTCCTGGGAATCACCTCCATGGACACTGCCTACACCTATGACCCGGTGAGTGAGTCTCTGGGGCCTTGTCCCAGGGCACACACATGGGGAGGGGCCCCTAGCCCCAGGGCCCTATCTCCCCTGCCCTCTTCTCCTAAGACCCTTCCCCTGGTGTGTCTACTTGAGGGCCCCCAAAGCTGGGAGAGCCTCTTGCACCATCCCTTGCTTAGACGTTGGCCACCGGACCAGGAGCGGGGCCTATGTGTCCTTGGAGGGCCTGAGGGTCCTCATACCGGCTCAAGGGCTTGGCGTTCCCTTCTCCTGGCTCAGGCCTCCCCAGCGCCCCCTGCAGGAAACTCCCTGCACTGAGACACTGTGGCCGAACCGAACCCCTCGCTCCCCCAGAGCAAAACTTCAGCCCGGACCTACCCCACCTACCCCACTGCCTTCAACACCTTCCAGTATGTGGAGACGTTTCTTGACCCTGGTGAGTAAGAGGAGCAGGGAAGCGGGCGGGGAGTCGGGAAGCTGGGCCGATCCTACCAGGTGCCTCTTTCTGCACAGGCTTCACCAGCCACCATGCAGTGGCCCAGACAGTTGTCACCGTCCTGCTGCATTTCAGTGACAGCCTTCTGCTGCCCCTCAATGTCAGTGACTACAGCGAGACCCTCTGGAGCTTCCTCCAGGGTGCCCAGGATGAGCTGGGGCCCCTGCTGGGACAGCAAAGCATCGATCTGGGTACTGTCCACAGTGCAGCACTGGGTGCCTGGGCTGTGCCCTCCCTGGGCTGAGCTGTGGCCTCTCCCCCCCTCTTGCCACAGGGCCTCTGGTGTCAGCTGTTGAGAGGTTTGAACAGGCAGCAGCTGCCCTGGATCAGCGCATTGAAACCCTCAAGGAGAACCTGTCTGAGTGAGTCCCTGGATCCAAGGAAGGAGAGGGGCTCTCAGCCAGGGCCCCGGGAGGGAGCCGAGGGAGTCCACACTCCAGCTCCAAAGCTCTCCCAGCCCCCAGTGCCTCTAGGATCCGACCCAGGCTCTTCTCCTGGGGTTTAAAGCCCTTCCCGGTCTGGGGCCAGCCGACCTTTTTATTCCCCTTCGCAAACTTAACATTTCGGCCTGTTTGCCATTCCCTGAACATGCCGCTCACTATGTCGCCCACCTTCCTGCCTTGGCTGTCCACAAGCACTTTTAGCAACAGCTCACCACGTTCCAGGCACTGTGCTAAGTCCCAGGGAACACAGACAAAATCATGGTCCCTGCCCTCACAGAGTTCATGGTCCAATGGGAGAGACAACATGCCAACAATGATATACCTGAGGCATACGTTGTTCCTGTTCAGTCACATCTGACTCTTCATGACCCCTTTTGGGGTTTTCTTGGCAGAGATACTGGAGTGGTTTGCCATTCCCTTCTCCAGCTCATTTTACAGATGAGGAAACTGAGGCAGTGGGTTAAGTGACTTGCCCAGGGTCACACAGCTAGGAAGTGTCTAAGGCTGGATTTGAACTCAGGGAGATGAGTCTGCCTGACTCCAGGTCCAGGACTCTATCCACTGAGCCACCTAAGATATAGAGATATAGATAATATACACACATATATTTATATGTGGCATATATATATATATATATATATATATATATACAGTATAAATGGGGAGTATTCTCAAGGGAAGGTCCTCACTGTTTGGGGGGCATGGGTAGACAGTGGCATCCGAGCCACAGATGGAGTTAGGAGGGATGGCATTTTCAGCATGGAGTCAGGAGTCAGGCTGGGGAGAGGAACAGAAAGGCCAGTGTTGCTGGATAACAGAAAGTTGGGGGGAGGGGAAGGAGGGTGCTGGCTAGGAAGGGCTTGGAGTACCAGAGGATTCTGTATTTCACCCTGGAGGTGAACGGGGGTGGAGGCAGCAAGCAGCAGCGCGCGCGCGCGCGTGTGTGCGTGTGTGTGTGTGTGTGTGTGTGTGTGTGTGTGTGTGTGTGTGTGTGACAGACAGATGGACATGGTTGGACCTGCATTTTAGGAAGGGGAGGGGAAGAAGACGAGCTCAGGCTGGGACACTGTTGAGTCTGAGATGTCTACAGGAAAGCCAACAGGCAGCTGGGCTAGCTGGAGGTCAGGAGAGCAGCTGGAATTGACGGCAGACTGTCTGTCCCAGGCCTGCCCCTCTGGTGTCTCATCCTGTGTGCCCCGCCCCCCTCCTTGGAGGCATCCTTCCAAGCTCAGCTGAGGGCAGCAACCTCGAGGCCTTTCCTGAAGGCACTGGACGTGCCTTCATCACTCTCCTTGTCTCCCCCATAAGCACGCTGAGGGCAGGACCTGTTCACTGTCCCATTTGTATCTCCAGGGTCTAGTACGTGGCCTGGCACATACTTGGGGCTTAATATAAGTTTGCTAACTTGAATGGGGGGTGGGGGGCAGTTAGGTTAGTGCCAAGAAAATAAATTCAAATCCAGCCTCAGACATTTGTTAGCTGTGTGACCCTGGACAAGTTACTCAAACCTGTTTGTCTCAGTTTCCTCATCTTATCTCTAGGGCTCTGCACAAGCCTGGAATAGAAGCGCTTAATAAATGCTAGGGAAATGACTAATTAGGGCCAGCCAGGTGCCTCCACAGTGCAGAAGGCCGGGCCTGGAGTTAAGAAGACTCATCTCCCAGAGTTCAAATCTAGCCTCCGACACTTACTAGCTGTATGACCCTGGGCAAGTCACTTCACCATGTGTGCCTCAGTTTCCTCATCTGTAAAATGAGCTGGAGAAGAGAACAGCAAACTACTCCGGTATCTTTGCCAAGAAAATACCAAATGGCATTGGGGTCATGAAGAGTCAGACAGGACTGAACAACCTGAATAGAGTCTACTCTGACTACCCCCCCTTTCTGTCCCAGCCCCCTAAAGGTACGGATGGTGAATGACCAGCTCATGCTCCTGGAACGAGCCTTCCTGAACACTCATGCCTTCCCCGAAGAATACTACTACAGGTGATAAAGCCCTGACCTTTGGCCCTGGTATACCCCACACCCCATTCCTACTAGTGGCCTTGGCCCCACCTAGCCTCCAAGGCTAATGCTTTCTCTGGGGGAGCTACAAAGTCAACGCTAGCCTGGAAGGCCAGGAAGGCCCAAAAGCAGCACCAGGCTGCCCAAGCCTTCTGGGTTCAACTTGCACCTGCTCTGAACCCCAACTTCTTCCCACCCCCAAACTTTACAGCCTCCTCCTCTCTCCCTACAGTCACGTGCTCTGGGCCCCTTGAACGTCCAACGTGATGACATTCCCCGGCCTGGCCAATGCCTATGACGAGGCCGTAAAGACACCAAACGACCCCAGCACCTGGGCCAAGGTCAAGAAGCAGCTCAGCATTGCCGTGATGGCCGTGGAAGGTGCAGCAGCCACCCTGGAGCCTGTGGCCGACTTCTGACCCAGCCTCCCCGCAAATACCCCCCCCGTGTCTGTGACTGCTCCTTCCGAGATCCCCTCACCCCATCTGTGACAGCTTCCCCTGAGATTCCCTCACCCCATGTCTGTGACTGTTTCCTTCCCCTATGATCTTTTCTCTGGCAAGCCTAACTGTGCAAAAAGACTGAAAGAACATCCTTGTTCCCCTCTTTCTCTTTATCTTCAGCCCCTGAGGGCCTGGGGCCCAGAGCATACCCCTCTCCTGCCACCTCAGCAGGTGGAGGAGGATATACCAAGTAATCAACGCCTGCCACGTGGCTCTCCCCCCACCCCATATACACCTTGAACTCTGGGTTCCAATCCCACTGGCTCTTAGAAGGTGGGTGGTGACAGAAAAGACACTGGCACAACTCAGCATTTGGGGGGTGGGCAGGATGAAAGGCATATCTATTCTCTGGTTAACCTGCAGGTGCCCAGCCCACCTTTCCCTCTCCCACTCCGAATTATCCTCAGGGCCAGGCATTTAAAAAGCCAATTTTACTGGCAAGGAGTCAGGACGGGGAGGGGTCTTTGGTGCGTGGGGGAGCGGCGTGGCTTCACGGGGGTGTCCTAGGGAGGGCCTCCCCCTCCTCCCCCATCACCACCTGCTCCAGACTGCACCCCCTCAGCTTGCTCTCCACCAGCAGGGCGCAGGATAGGGCCGGGAGGGGCCCGGTGTCCGTGTAGTGGCCCCGGACGAAAATGGCCTTCTCGTCCCCGGCCTCCCCCTCCACGGCCAGCCCGTGTGCCCGGCACAGGGCCCCGGTCTCGGCCAGGCTGTCCATGGCCAGGAGGCGGGCCAGGAGGCGCAGCGGGTAGGCCTGACCTCGGGGGGTGCCCAGCGCCCGGGCCAGGGCGGCCAGTGCCCTGCGGCGGGCCGGTCCCACGTGACGCTGGGCGGCCCGGCTGGGCAGGTAGGGCAGGGCGCCGAGCAGGCGGAAGAGGCGGACGGCGTTGTCCTCTCGGAAGGCAGCGTCCACGGCTAGGGCTCGGCGCAGGGCCGGGCAGGAGCGCAGGCCGGGGGGCAGCAGCAGGACCTGGTGCAGGGCTTCCACGGAGCCTGGCGGAGCAAGGAGCCAGGGATCAGCACCGCGGACAGCGCCCGGCCTCCTCTCCCCTCCCCGCCCCGGGGCCGGACTAGGGGGGGTGCCTGGTGCGTGGGGTCACAAGCCAGGCCTTGGCGCCCGAGCTCTTCGGCCCTCTGGGCCTCAGTCTCCCCATCTGCACAAGGGGCCTGCCCCCGGGCACTCACCCAGGTTGTAAAGCAGAAAGAGACTCTGGAAGAAGCCCTGGCGCGGGTGCACCTCGGCGCTGTCGGCGTAGCAGCGGCGCAGGGAGCCGAAGGCCTCCTGCATCTGCGTGTGCAGCAGCTGCGGGTCCAGCCCCGCGCCAGAGCCCTTGCCGGGGTGGCCGCCAGGCGGTCCGGGCACGCAGAGCTGGCAGGCGAGTGCGGCCTCGAGCACGGCGGCGGCGTCCCGCGGGGGCGCCGAGGGCTGCAGGAGCAGGTCGAGGCGCACGGCGCGCAGCCGGTCCCACACGAAGGCGGCCACGTCGGGCGGGGGCACGTCGGCGCGGCCGGCCACCTCGGCCGCCAGGTAGCGCACGGTGGCGAGCAGCACGCGCGGCGGCCGCAGCTGGCTCGGGAGCGGGCGCGCCTTGCCCGCCGCCGGCCGCGCGTACTCCTTGACGGCGCGCGCAGGGGCCGCCTCCAGCCGGTGCAGCCGCCGCTGCCGTTCACGCGCCGCGCGCTCCGCCTCGGGGCACAGGTCCGGGCACGTGCCCAGCGGGAGCGCGCCGCCCTGAGGCATCCTGGGTCTCGGAGCGCGCGAGAACGCGTGCGCCGGCGGAGGAAGGGAAAGAGGGGAGGAGGCTCAGGGCTGGCTCGTCCAGGCCCGGCCCCCAACACCTCCTCCTCAGCCCTCGCTCCTCTTCAGCTCTACCCCCCTTCCTTCCCTTCCCCCCCCGCCGCACTTCCCGCTTTTGGGCGGGGCCCCCAAGCCCTCCCCACGTGACGCTGGCCTCGGCCCTGTCTCGGCCCCGCTGTTCAGCCTTTCACAGCCGTGGGACTTGGCGCCATCTCCAGGATCCCAACGTCTCACCCCACCAGTTTCCTGAGCAGCCGCCAGACCGAATCCTTCACGTCTTATCCGACTTGTCGGCTACGCCCCCGTCAGTGGGCCCCGTACCCCGGCCACGCCCCCCAGGGCTGAAGCGACCGCCTTCACGATGCTGTCCAATCACAGCATTGTCTGCTTTGCTTAGCCCCGCCTCTCCCCCAATCACAGCTACCATTTTCCTAGCCACGCCCCTACCGGCCTCCCTCTATGCTGAGGAACAAGCCTCAACAGGCTGCCTTACTTGGCCCCACCCACCCAATCATGGCCCTGCCCTCCTACTCGCTACTTCCGGCTTCCGCCTGCCAGGACACACCTGAGCAGTGATAGAGGCTTGGCCCAGTTCCATAATGCACCGCGTGGTGCCCGTTGATGACGCGTGAGCCCGTAAAGTGGCAATGGACCACCAGGTCTCCTCCCCTAGTGCCCCTCGCCGTAAGCCTAGGTCTAGCTTTCCCAGAATGCTTCGCGTTGTAGTCCAGGCTGCCAGAAGAGGCTTCCGTTCTTTCCAATGCATTCAGCAAGCATTTATTAAGTGCCCGAGATGCGCTGGGCACCGGAATAGAGAGACAGAAGCCCCTGCCTTCCTCGGGGAACCACGTGTACACAGATTAGCCATTCATTCATTCACTCCAGGCCAGACAGTGAGGAGGGAAGGCATTCCTGGCATGGGGAATGGCCCGGGCAAAGGCATGAAGGTGGGAGATTGCCAGTGTGTGGTCAGAGTGGTGAGGGAGGGCGGGGTCATTGGGGCCGGGCAGTGCAGTGGTCTGAAGGGCACTTAGGGAATGTCGAATTGGCAGTTGTGTGGACCCCAGCTTGGGGGAGGGGCTGGTCAGTTACCCCAGATCGCTGGACATTGGAGAAGAGGGAAAGACTCCTCCTCTGAGACCCCCACTTTTTCAGCACCTCTGTGAGACCCCCAAGCACTGTCCTCATGACATCCCTTTGGGGGGGCAGTGCAAGTATGCTGACCCCCATCTGACAGATGGGGAAACTGAGGCCAGGTCTCCAAGGTCTCTCGGATGGGCCGGCCAGCAGCATCTGGGTAGGAAGGCAGGCTCATGGCTGCAGGTGGAGACGCAGGATCTCTTCAGCCCGCTGCAAGTACTCTGCCACCTTCCTCTTCACCCCTTCTTGGCGGGCACAGTTGGGGTCACCTGTGGGGAGCAGTCCAGGGCCTCAGGCTTCTGGTCTGGCTGGCCTCAGGGGCCCCTCTGAGCTCATCTCCCCCACCCCTAATACCTGGGCACAGATAATTCAGAAAGAAGGAACAATCCCACCCTTTCTTCTTACAGAGAGGGAAACTGAGGGCCAAAAAAGAAAATAGACTTGTCCACCATCACTCAGGAAGACAGGAGCAGAGAGCTTGAATCTGAACTCAGAGCCTCTGACTCCAAAGCCAGGGTCCCTTCCTTCAAACCATGTGTGCCTGCTCTCAAGGGGCTCCTGGTAGGCTCGCTCAGCCCCCTGAGATCAGGCCCTACCTCACATCTCTGTTCCACCAGGGCTCAGTTGCTAGGCTGGGCTTGGAGTCAGGAAGCCCTGAATTCAAATCCAGCCTTTGACATTTGATAGCTGTGGGGTCCTGGGACCTTCACGTCCGCTTCAGTTTCCTCATCAATAGGAAGGGGATAACTGGCACACAGTTGGCGTTCTATAAATGCCAGTAGTGATTATTATCAGGGCCTTCCAAAAACCAGAGTCTAGGCCGCCTTGTTTCTGCCTCCACCCCCCACCCCGGGTGTCTTCTCTCCTCCTCCTGCGTTTCCCAGTCACTGGGGCATGTCTCTGCCTCCTTCCCTGCTACAATATGTGCCCCTCGAGGACAGGGTCTGGTGGGGCTCTTCTGCACTGTTAGCGGGCGGGCTCAGCCTGACCTGAGCGTGTCCTGCTGGGGCTCTGACCCCAAGGGCCGCCACGAAGGAGCCTCAGGGTGTCCCCACCAGCCCCTCCTAGAGAACCCTGAGGGTCCCAGCTCACCCGGCACCCCCTGGAGGAGGAGGTCCACTCCGTCCCGGTACCCCTGCAGGGCCGCAGCGTAGGCCCCTGCTCGCTCGTCCTTCAGGGCCTGGGTGATGAGCTCTGTAGCGCGGGTCAGGTAGGCTGGGCGTGGGCCCTCCTCCTCCTCTTCCTCCTCCTCCTCCTCTTCGCCCCCTCCCGGCTCCCAGGGCGACTGGCCGAGGGTCTGGGGCTCTGCCCCCAAGGCTGCCAGGTCAGCTACGTGAGTGGGGCTGGGTCTGGGTCCGGCCCCTTCTGCAGCCCAGAGAAGAGGGGCTCAGGGCCACCAGCCCTCGCCTCCCCGCCCCACCCACCACTCTTCAGAATCTCCCAAGTTTGGGGCCACCGGTGACCGGACACGTCCCCATGGCTGATCCTGTCGGTAGGCCTAGCAGGGGAGAGCTTCAAACAGATGAGGCTGAGCCCCGCTCCACTGACCACAAGGTCGGGGGACAGGCAGCAGGAAGCCCTGGGTTCAAATCCCATCTCAGGCTTACTCAGTGTGTTCCCCCATGGAGCCTCAGTTTCCCTTTCTATACAATGAAGATGGAAATCCTTCTGCCTCCTCCTTGGACCGCTGCCAGCTTCGAGTTGGCTCCACCAGGACCCTCGGCCTTCGCTGTCATGGGTGAAGAGCCTCAGGCTGCGTTACCCCTACTAAGGGTCAAAGCCAGGTCTCCTCTGGCTAAAATAAGTTTTCGCTCCCTGGGTGGAAAGCCACAAGGCTGGGCAAGGACTCCCCCGTCCCCCATCCCCCATGCTGGCCAGTGGTGACTGCCGGCCATTATCTGGGCGGGGAGGGCCCTCCCAGTATATGCTCCCCAAGGAATGACCTGGCTTTCATTCAAATACTCATCACCTCCCAGGG